TTCATCGTCGTCCCGGGAATGATGCCAGTGCATTTGCATCCGCCGCGACCACGGAATAGACACCGTGTAACTCGACAAGAAGCCAGGCCCCACTCGAGCCGCGCTCACATTTCGCCAACACCGATTGGCATGGCTGTTTAACGGTTGAAACGATTGCCATGGCCGTTTAACGTCTGCGTAGTTGGTTGTACACTTCTAATAATCGTTGAAAAAATACTAAACTGTTAACCCGTGAATATGTGATGTCGTCGTCATCGGCAGCAACTTCCTCAATCCTCGTCGGATCTCAGGCTAGCAGGTCTGCTCAAGCTCTGCGGCAGCGGTTCGACAAGAATCAGAGTATATTAATTAACAAAACGGCAGGTGCTTCGCGTGCTGATCGAGGGCGGATCGTACGAGAGGAGCGATTCGACAGGATTGAAATGTCGGAGGCCATTTGGTGAAGGCGAGCCATCGAAACGGGGCAATACATTTCTGCTCCAGATGTCTTTGCTTGTAAACCAACAAGTTCAGAAAGGCGCGTGGGTGATATTTCAGGGCTTTGAGTTGGTCAGGTCAGAGTACAAGAACAAGTCGATAGCGGTTTTTTTCAGATGGGAGAAGATTCTTCGCCTGGTCACACTAGATTTTTCTGACGGCTTGCTTGACGCTATATGGAGTATCCAACTCCTACTATCCTATCCAACTTGCCGATATCATATGCACAACTGGATCATACATTTTGGACGATTGGCAACTTGATCGAATTTAAGATACCTAGTGTACTGTACACCAGGAATACCATACTGCAGAGAACGGCAGATATGGCCATATTACAGCTCACTGCTCACGTCAAACTAGCTAGGCATGCTAACCGGGCTCCAAATAAAATTATGATAAATTTACAATGGTTTAGATGCATTCCTCCTGAACGTGATGGGTACGTGAACACGTTACCACACGTGAAATATTTGCAATCAAAGGGTCCGCACCACCGTAGTGATCATTGAAACGTCCACAGCATGGGGCCGGGCACAAGACCCATAAGGCCATAATCATATTATCTTCAATTGTCCTTTTGTTCCAATTTAGTTATTTCAGTTCGTACGAAATGGATCTTTTCACCATCGTGATCCGCATGGCTATAACGTATAGAACTTATTCCTGATCACATAACCGGAGAGCTGATGGGCGATGATATAGGCGCTGTTTGGATCCACCCAGCTAAATCTGAAACTGTTTGATCCTCTAGCTAATTGGATCGAACCTCCTTCTATGAAAGATCGGAAAAGGTGATTTCACTTTAATGAGTCGGCACATGTTAAGGGGTGTTTTTTCTTTTTTGTGCTTGTCTTCCAGGGACAGTGGGGACTAAAGGGAAAGCAAGGTGAAAAGGGGATAAGACCTCCTTTACGAAGGATTAGAGGAGTGTAGAAAGATGATATGATAGTATTTAAAAATGTAAAATAACAGACATACAATTATATGGAAACAGCACGGAGTAAAAAAAAAACTAATGGACACATCACCAAACGCACGCACCAGCAGCGCTAGAGACGACAACTCATTCGTGAGATTAACTAGATATATTGACCTGTCTTTTAGTGATTTGGATGCCTTGGATGGAACTTGCAACCATAAGAAACATAACCATACGAAACGCAAAGTGCCAAAAGTTGATGGATTAGGAGCAAAAAAAAAAAGTTGACGGATTAGTCAACTGCTAAGCCCTGCTTTGGGCTGATCAGCAGCCTGTTCGTTTGGGCTGCCATAGTTGAAAGTACTATTGGCTGATTTGATATGAGAGAAAAATACTGTTTGTTGGCTGATAAGCTAAATACGACCAAGCGAACATGCTGCAGAATGGAAAGGCCAACCAGTGAAAATCTGAAAGGGAATTTAGTACTGCACCAACGGAGTATACTGGGCACAGCTTCACTAAACACGTGTGGAACAAAATGAAGAAGGAGAATATATCACAACATATACAGCCTGTTCGCTTGGTCGTGTTTGGTTTATAAGTCATGACTGAAAGTACTGTTGGTTAATTTAGTGTGAGAGAAAAATACTCTTCATTAACTGAAAACAAAGTCAAATAAGCCTAAATAAACAGGGTGATAATCATTCCATCTGTTCCATTCCCTTTGCATTTTTAATTTATCAGTGGCACGGTATCAGCTTCACCTACCAGACCACGAGGGGCGATGGCGATCTGGCCTGCCGCGCCAGCCTGGCTCGTAGAGTGTGTACCACTGTGTCTTGTGTTATCAAAATACATGCTGTAGTTTAGAGTAGAGTTTTTGACACTCTTCGTTAGGATCTCCCGTGATCTTCGGTAAGAGCTCCTTCTTTTTATATATACATATAAAAAAGATCTTCCGTGATGCGATGCGTCTAGCTGTGATTAAGGAGCTGTTCGGCCGATGATTTCTACGATTCATAAACTAACTGAAGCTAATTTATTATGAAAAAAACTATTTTATAACTGATAAGTCAGACTGATAAATTCAGCTAGCGAATCAGACAGCCAGCAGTTCTGCTAGGATGGCTGGCTGGCTGGTGCTGACGAGGCCCCTCACGCGAGTACTGTTCACATGAATAGTGTATTCTTCTCCTCCTCGCCAACAAGCAACGAACGAGCCGGCCCAGCCGAACACGATCCTCGTCTCTCGCGAGAAGGTGATGTCTGCTCTGCTTGCTGCACTGCTTGCAGCGAAACATACACTAGCTACTGCCAACTGGTAAAGTGCCTTCTTGCGCGCACTACTACTGTGCTCAAGGCCACGTCTGCACCTGGATACAGCAACTCAAAAGCTGACGACGACTCGTGGGCGGCTGACTGCTGAGACCTGACTACAGAGGGCATCCCTTCTGCTGACGAGGTCACGCGAGCGACTTCCAAATCGGTGGGTCGCCGCGCGGGCGATGATTCGTACGGTTGATAAGCTAGCTGAGGTAATTGGTTGTAAGAGAAAATATTATTCCATAATCGATAAGTTCAAGCGAGGTGTCTCGCCGTCTCGACAGATGCTCTCACGACTCCCACCCAAACCTCCTGCAGTGGTACGAGTTTACTGTTTACCTTACTATACGTACGTCCTTACCGAAAAGTTAGCCGATTACCGCATCCAATTCCGTGGTTTTCCGATGCAAATTATTGCTCTGACAGAGGTGCGGTGCGTTCGGTGCCTCACTGTTTTTCTAATCACACTACCTGCAGGGACGAATAGACGGTTTTAACTAAAATCATAAACACCACATAAACTTTAATTAGTATATCATCGAACCCAAAAATGCTACTCTTGCTGAGCTAGGTGAAGATTTTGTAACCTAGGGTGATAATCAACAATTTAATGTATAATAAGATAAAGTGATCAGATTAAGGCCCTGTTCACTTGAACTTATCGGTCGTACCGTTTCAGCGAAATAACAATGTTTTTCTCTCACAACAAATCAACATCAGCATCAACATCAGCATCAACCGTTTTTCCAGCCAGCCGAACAGGACCTAAATTGCATGAAAGAAATTTGAGCATAAGAGATAACCAATCACTAGACAGAACTTTATCCACGTGGCCGGACCGCCTAACGCTTATTTCTCACGCGCACTACAGAAAAATAGTACTTGTTGTAAGTCCTTCAAAGAATGGCCAGCGAACCGTCCATGCACGCTATCAAACAATGTATGGTATGACTTTCTCACGCACATCACAAAACCACCAGTTCCTTGGCTCTGCTCGGAGAAGACTTGTGGTTGTGGACCGTCCACGCCATAGCACTGGACCGTCCTTGCTACACGATCAAACCAATCCAAAAGATCCTCCTCAAAACGGTGAAGTCAGGACTATCCGCCATATCAGAGGTGGGCAGTCCACAGTCAACAATCAGTTGCCCCTTTTCAAGTGTCACTCATCCCTATACATGCAATGTATCACTTGCAAATTGGCACTAGAGAACCATCAAATAAACGAACATTCACACCTTTTGGTAGTATGACTATATAGTCTACTAACCTAGTCATATTTCGTCATCTATAAATAATTACCTCATGAAACCCTCAAACATCTTTTATGGCGTCCATGCTCCGTGGCAGGATTGGTTACTGCAAAATGATTCTATCTTATCGGATTCCCATTCTGCTCCTCCTTCCAACATGTGAAAATTTATTAATGATGAGCTTGCTACTTACTGTGCCGTTCTATCACCTATGTCGACGTTCACGATGGGGGGCCGCCACCTCCTTCTGGTACGATCATTGGCTTCACTCTGGCCCCATTGCTTCTACCTTTTGGCACACTATTTAATTTGGGAGCGTATAAGTTATATGCGTTGATTTATTCTAAAGACTTTAGGAAGATATACGTATTGAATACCATGTGAAATCAAAGTTGTGACCGAGCAATACTGCAAAACAAGGAATAGTACTCTAAGAATCTTCAAATAGGGAGGTCAATGCTTAGCAGTCTGGAAACGGGAAAGTGGACACGTTCCGGGAACATCGTTCTGATTCGTAGAACGAGAACATGATGGAACATCGTTCTGAACACTGATGGAGCGTGATCGACACCACGGGAACGACTACCCACTTGGGACGCTTGCTACGGATGGCCGTTGCCGCTTCGTGGAGGCGTGGAATGACGATTGGCCTGGGTTTTGCATGGGTGCGTTTTAGCCTTTTTGTTCCGATGGATAGTCATAAGTTGTTGATGAAAATCTAAGGCCCAAAATTCAATAAATAGAAGAAACAACAAACAACGTACCACGTATCGCGTCCCGTACCACGACTCCAATCTTCCCGGAACTTGGTTGCAGTGATAGCAACAATCACTTTACTTATTACGTGGCAGTAATTCGATTCACCGGCCCACACGATTACACAAACACACTAGTATAGTCTCTACACACATGGTCTCGTGCCGCTCCGCTCGTATAGTCGTATACACGACTGCTTATTAGCTTATTCATGTACCAGCTCGTACGTAGCAGTGTAGCACTCCTAGTAGCCTGGTGGTACCAATCGCTCAGATGGAGATGCTGTTGGGAATGCCCTTGGCGGTGAGCCCGGCGGCGGCGCCACTGTGGTCAGAGGTGTTGGGGTACAGCAGCATGTAGGGGAACTCGGCGGGCCCGTTCCTGTTCTTCAGCTGTGTGTCACGGTTCTCGCCCACCACCTTGCCCTCGATCTCGACCAGCGCGTCGCTGAACCGCTTGAACGCCGCCTGCGCCCGGGCGTCGGAGGTCCACTCGGGGGTGTCGCGCTGCCCGAGGTACACCTCGTCGGAGGAGTGCTTGGAGAGGATCTCGATGAGCGAGATGCCGATGATGGTCTGGATCTGGCTCGTGATGGTGTGGATGAAGCCGCGCTCCGGGTCGCGCTCCAGCTCCTCGTACTCCTTGCTGCCCGGCTCCGGCATCCGGCGCCGGCTCACGGTGGGGCGGTTCGGGAGGTACCCCGCGTACGGGTACTGGCCGAAGTTCACGGCGGCGTGCAGCGCCGACGCGATCCAGATGATGGTGGTGCAGGCGCTGGCGAGCTCCGACACAGCCTGCATCTCGGGCCACCAGGGCGCGTCCTTGAGGTCGCCGTGCCCGACCTCGCGCACCTCCTTCCACCACGCCTGCAGCTCCTCGTCGCCCCGCAGCGCGCCGTCGTCGGGGTAGTAGATGGCCAGGTACTCGCCCACCCACTGCTCGATGGCGTGCCAGATCGCCAGCCCGTCGCTCGCGTACGGGTAGTCCTGGATCAGCAGCCGCACCTTGTAGGGGCTCGACGGGTCCGCCACCGCCACGCCCCGCTTGACGAGGTCGGCGGGGAGGCCCTGCTCCGTGAAGTTCCAGCTCTTGTACACCGCGGAGGACATGGCCAGCGCGTACTTGGCCGGGAAGACGGTCATCTCGAAGATGCCGCCGCCGTTGATGAGTGTCTGCCGCGCCAGCGCGTTGATGGTCATGGTGTCGCGGAAGTGCGGGTGCAGGAGCTTGTGCACCGGGTGCGTCACGCTCAGCTGCCGGTTCGTCGCGATCACGAACGGCTCCATCACCGCGTGCGTGTTCAGCCTGCACGTGCGCCGAGAATAGATCACCGGCGGTTGATCGCATCGACTCAATGGTGATTACACAATGCATTTCATACCAGTGGCTGATCAGTTGGTGCCAGCCGGAGTCGTTGACGGCGACATAGGCCTTGGCGAGCTGCCACACCCAGGCGTCGACGCCGCTGGACGCCGGAGTGTAGACCTTGCTCTTGGCCTTGGTGAGGCCTCCGTCGATGTACGGCTCGCTGAGCTCGATGGCGAGCGGCGCTAGCCTGCCGTCGCCGCGCAGGAAGAAGAGCGTCCTGGTGGCGTAGATGAAGTTGCCCTCCAGGTTGTTGACGTCGATCAGGAACGGCATGAACCGGTCGTGGTGGTCCAGGATGTAGAGCCTGTTGCCGTCCAGCGCCTGCTGCACCGTGAGGCCCTCCAGGTTCTTCTCGATGTGCTCCGCCGTGATCGTGCTGGTGTGGTCGCCGTACTTGCTGGGATCCAGCGTGCTCTTCGGCGGGAACTCCTGTAATCGTGTCGTTTTCGACCCACTTTGTGTCTTGTCTCTCGTGAAGCCACCATTAATTAACAGTTACGCATTTGGCACAGAGTGAGTGACTCACCGTGAGGCGCGTGATCACCATCGGGTTGACGCCGGCGAGCACCTCCCGCGCGAACTCCTCGTCGGTCCTCCACGCACTCTTGTCCTCTGTTCCGTGCAACGTACGCGCAAACAGTCAGTCAGCTAGCTTATCGATCAACTTAGAAGTATGTCGCTGTGTGAGCACATGCAGATCGACAGCCGTGCCTTTGATGATCTCAGGGATGGGGAGCTTGAGCAGGTAGTCGCCGCCGGCGGGGAGGAGGTCCTTGACGAGCTGGAGCGGGAAGAGCTTGCGCATGTCCCGAACCGCCTGGATCTTGGGCAGCTTGATCCCGCCCTCGTACAGGTTGATGATGTCCTGGAAGGAGTCGAACTCGCCGGGGCTGGTGTCCACGTAAGTGCGCACCGCCGGGATGATCCCCTGCGTGATCGCCTTGATGGAGTAGCCCAGGAAGTCGGACATCTTGAGGTGGCCGAACCGCTCGTCCCGTGGCACGTAGATCTGCTCCACCAGCGACAGCCGGCTCTCCGAGTTGGGGTCTGCGGGTCAAGTTAACGTCATCCAGGCCAGTCAGTCAACTCTCCTGCAGCAAATGCAAATGCAAATGCAAATGTTTCGTCCGAGATCGAGGCCCACGGCGAGCACGCACCGGTGTTGGTGGGCTTGCGGCCCGTGCGGCAGCGGCGCGGGTAGGGGTGGTCGGCGGAGCCGCCGAGGATGGGGCGCGGGTTGCCGCCGTCAGGCTCGCCGAGGTCGTTGTAGACGTCGTAGCGGTACACGCGGTCGTGCTCCTGGTAGGGGCCCTGCTGGTCGTCGCCGCGGAGGTTGCGGAGCTCGTCGTCGCGGTAGGGCTTCAGCGCCGCCGGCATCTGGCTCGGCAGGTACGTCTGCGACGGCGTTTTTCCGGCACACAAAAGACAAAAAGATCAACATGTTGACTGACTGAATGACGGACGTTTAGAAAACATAACCCAGGTTGATTGATCAAAACTCTACAGTACAAGTCTACAGTACTCTCTTATATCTTATAAAGATATAAGGACACATGTTAACCGCTGATTTGCTTGACTGACCATCACGGTCATCAACATGACTCTCTGTCATCTCGAAAGTAAACTTTGAGTGGATATGGATTGGCATCAATCTTTACTTTAACCTTTTCTTTAAAGTTAATTATTATCTCGGGCGGGGCGATGACCGGGAACCAGGGCCATGTTCGTTTCGTTTGGACCTGTGTGACATGAAAGTATGATTTTGAAAGTACGATTGATAAATTTAATGTGAGAAAAAATATTATTCGTTAGCTAAAAAATATGACTTATAAACTAAATAAACCTAAACATGTTACCTGCTAGCCACGTGGTGAACTCACATGCCTCGCGCTCAGCGACCGTCAGAAGATTTCAGAAGATCATTCTAGCACTAGATTCTTCACCTACCGTGGCAGTTGCACTACCCATGTCCTTTTCCGACCTACTCATGGCGGCTACATTTTCTTAAAGCAACTACTAGTAGAAAGAAATGTATACTAGGAAAAGTGATAAAATAAATATGAACCGATTGAGAAGAAAGACTTGAACAGCAGATGCGGCCGCCAGGAATGTCAATGGCGTCGCGGCGACTTACATCGTTGGAGAAGAAGACGCGGTTGTAGCGGTACTTGCCCACGGGGTAGACCCATGAGTTGGCGACGAAGGTGACGGTGCCGCGGCCGGTGACGTCGTCGAGGGTGATGGTCTTGAGGAAGAACTCGGCGGTGTGGTGGTTCTTGACGATGACCGCCCCCGGCACGCCCAGCTTCTCCACCTCCCAGTCGAACGTCACGCCGAACTTGGACTCGCCGGTGGTCAGCGACGGCAGGCTCGTCAGCCACTGCTCCAGGTTCGCCTCCGCGCCGACCCGCCCGCGGTTGCCGTTGTCTGGGCAGAGCAAAAGCACGCGCGGTGGCGGCCCATGTGGGCGATGTGATGAGTCGATCGATATGGTTCGTATACGCGTCGGGCATGCACGCATGCGCGGGCGCCGAGATACATGGTGCATAGTATACGAGTAGTAAATTATTGATAAAGAATCTAGATCAAAGTAGAAATCGTTTCTGAATCTCTTGTTACTGAGTTCTTTTTCACTCTACCAGCTAGCTAGCCAGCATCTGGTGCTCTGCACCCAAGCTATAGCTTTGCTGTCTTTTTCTCGGTGTTCCTCTCTCGATTCTTTTGTTCTTTCCATGTTCCCTAAAAAAAGATGACCGAGGGCCGAGGCAAGGTAGCCGAAGCAGCAGTTAGGTTGTTCGGCAGGATCGAAAAATAAATTAAAATACTGTTCAATACTGTCCCAGCTGATTGTTGTGAGAGAAAAATATTTTTCTGGCTGAAAACACTGTTCATATGAACAGTGTTTATGTGAGTGCGCCGGTCAGCCAGCCCCAGCCCAGCCAGCCAGCCGAACGCACCCGCCCAAACAGTATGCTTGGTGCTTGCTTGCTTTGTATGTGCGGGGAAAATGCATGCGCAAAAGGTAAAAGTAACCGCGAAACTTCGATCGAGAGCTAGCTAGCTTAAGAGATTGATCAAGGGAAGGGAGAGATCAGAGAGGTGGCATCGCCCGTCGCCGGCGCCGGCGGGCGGTACTCAATACTCACTGGCGTCGACGAGGGTGGAGCTGATGAGCTGGCAGGTGACCCCCTTGCCGAGGAACTCGCTGATGCTGTCGATGACGGTGGCGCCGAAGTCGTTGAGGCCGAGCACGTTCTTGCGCATCAGCACCACCGTGCCCTTGAGCCGCGCCTGCTTGTTCTCCCCCGTCAGCCCATCGATGATCCCGCTCAGCATCTTCACCAATCACCACCCGCTCCAACTAGCTGCTCCCTGCTGCCGGCTGCCGCGCGCCTTGTGCTTTTGCAGTGGTGTTGGTTACTGTGTGAAGCTGTGGGAGGCCGAGGCCGAGCCGGGGGATTTATAGCGAGCGAGGATGCGAGAGCTGGAACGGGGCGCGACGCGAGCACAGTGCACCGATCGACTACGGCTGCGTGACGTGCCCGTGCGCGTCTGGCGCTGCAACTGGTGGGTGGCAGTGTGCTACCGTGTGTGTTAGAGAGTAATTAATGCGGTTTGATTATTGGGCAGAGGGACGAGAATGGTGAATGCGTCTGGCACATTTAATTTATGCACATTTATTTTACTATCGAGTCCTCAACCCCAACAACCAAGAGGTCGGGCCTCACTGGGAATTGGCAAGAATATCTGTTCGTTAGACATTTTTTATGTCTAACCCTTTCTCACATTAAAAAACTAGAAATAAGACGTGCGTAAACAAACTCTAAGAAAAATTGGTCGAACCGCTAGAAACCTACGCCCCGTGTTTTCGCTTCACCAGCGTGTTCAGAGTTTTTTTTGTTCCCGCACCCCGAGCTTTAGCCCCCTCCTTCCCCGGAAGGGTTTGGAGGGGCCCACCTGCGGAATCTCCACCGAGGAGAGGCCAGCGGATCACCCAAGTCGATCGAACGGCTCGGGCCGTTGCCGAGAGATGAGTAGGGAAAAACAGGACGCTCCATGTAGGTTGCGCCAACTCCGTCACGAACGATGGACCCGGACCCCGCACGGGCATATTATGGTAAAAGCCCTCTGAACCCGTCACTCGAACCGTCGAGTTAACTTTACCAACCCCCACTTTTCTTTTTCCAGTGCATGAACATTCATTCATCCATTCATTCATCCATTCATTCATACATTCATCTCATACATCCAAGCATTGCATATGTAATTATTGCATCACAACGCTTCGCGTCGCATCACGAAGCGGTAGTCATCTCATTTGACATGAGCGGTGACCGACCGATGTTTGAAGGCCGGCCCGCAAAGGGCTCGAGGTCGCCTCACGTCAAACAGACCTAGGGGAGAAAAACTTAGATGAGCCCCAGCGGCCTTGCCCGACCCCGCTCAGAAGCGGACATGGACATCTAGACATTTCTCGTTCGATTCTAACCTCGAGCCAAGACCACTGAATCTCCATCGAGGAGAGGCCAGCGGGCCACCTGAGACGCTCTCCAGAGAGACACGGGCATCTGCCGGGAGGCGAGTTAAGGAGCAGTGGAATGCCACATGAGGGCTATGTCGACCCCGTCGCAAACGACGAACCCGGATTTCACTCGAACATGCTCGTTAGCAAGCTCACCGAGCGCATCACTCGAGCCATCGAGGCAAGTGACGTTAGCTCAACCCCTTCGGTTGCGGAAACTGTGGACGGGGTGGCGACGACCACAAAGACGAGCCGATCCTCGACTGGACCCCTGCTACGCATGGGGGCTCGAGGAAAGATTGGACTCGCAAGAAGACCTGACGCGTGGTCGAACGATGGCTCAGATCCTAGGGAGGGGTACGCACGAAAACAAAGAGGCGCTTTCTCCTACTAGTTTCGCTATCCTCTCCTCGATCTTTAGTGACACCCGACCCCCAGCAACGGCAAAGGGTTGGGTCGCACTCGATGGCTGATAAAGGTATAAATACACTCTTTCTGAAATAGTCACCGCGCTCGACCCCTTCCTCATGTTAAACCTAGTGGCAAGGTCTGCGGAAACGAACGACTGAGCAAGGCTGGTCGGACTGCGAGAGACCTACGTCTCGGTGGCTATGACATCTTTGCTCACAGCATGATCGGAGTTTCCGTCCTATACCTCGAACTCTACGGTCTCAACAAACAGAAGGGTCAGAATGCATTAACCCCTTTTCACACATAAAAAGGGAGGAAAAACAAATTCAATCAAACAAAACGAAATGATGAGTTTGTTTTTACGATACACAAGGGTCGGCAGTTGTCTACTGATTACAATAATGATCATCCGACCTATCTGACTAACTTGCCCCTCTAGGGGGAGAACTATATCTTCTATCCTGTCCACCAGGTCCTATGAAAGGGGAGCCACCGCCGCTTCCATCTCCTCTAGCTCGTGGACTTCATAGCCAGGCGTGAAGCCATGGCTCATCGCCTCCAGGTTGATGTTGTCCCCGTAATGAGAACGAGCAATCGTGAAGGATTGATTAACCCCGGCTCGAAGGTCATTCCTCTCGAACTGGCACACCCGAGCCATGATCTCGACAGCACGGGCCGCGAGCGAGCTGGTCCCCTCCGACCGCACCACCTGAAGGTCATCGCAGACCACTCCAAGGGCGGCGCTTAGGATACCGAGCTCGTCGCTCTCCGCCTGAAGATTCCTCCTCGCCTCGGAGAGGTCCACGGCCAGCCCGACAGAGACGCTCTCGGCCTTTAGCTCCTGGGTCGTCGTGTTTCTAAGCTCGGCCTAGAGGGAGCTGACCTTCTGCTGCATCGTCGCGCTCTTGGTAGGCCTAGTCATGCTCTCGGAGGGCCTAGTCGTGCTTCTCGCGAGCCATCTCACGCTCCGAGCGGAGTCTCTCCACGGTCTGAAACAACTCATCCCACTGCTTGCGTAGCCGGGCGACCGTCTCGGCATCTAGGCTCGCCCTCTTCTCTAGGGCCGTGAGCTTCTCCTTGGCCCCCAGCTTCAGCTCCCTCTTCTACTCAACATCGGCCAAAAGGTCAAGGATCCGCTGGCGGGTTTCGACGTCCTTCTAGAGCAGCTCGTCGCATTCCTTCTTGACCTTGATGGCTTCCTCATCGTCCCACCGCGATCTCACCGACAGGGCCTCGAACGCCCTCTCGGCCTTGTCAGCATGCCGATGGGCCTTGGGCACCCATGCCCGAAGACTGCTCGCCTCCTCAGCAAGGGGAGTCAGCTCAGCCACCTTCTACTAGGTGGTAGCAAGCTGAGCCATCACCTCCCCGCGCAGCAGCGCCTCCTCGATGAGGCAGTCCTAGGTTTCCTTCTGCTCACGAAGGAACCGTGACTTCTCCCGGCTACAATCGATGAGGGGCTAAAAGAAGACGATGGTTACAATACAAAAATATGCAGAGAAAGGAAAGGGCAAAAGCAAGAAATACCCGGCCAGTGGGAACGACAACGTCGGCCAAGGCACAATAGGCATGGTCCATATCTTCGAGCATGAACGCGACTCCCACGTCGAGGCTCTCCCGCTCCATGCTCTTGGCGACGTCGATGAGGGTGAAGAGCGTCGACGCTAGGTCCTTACGAATTTGTCCACCGGAGTAGGGGCTCGCCCCGCGTAGGCGAGTCACCGCCCACCGACGTCAGGGCCAGAGATGACTCCCCGTCGGCTCCAAGCGCCGCCAAGCCTTCTCGTCACGACGTTCCCGCCGGGACGCCCCCTCCAGCGATGGAAGGGGTCAGCGGTACAGGCATCGACCTCTCTCCCAACACAACAATGTCCGGGGACCCCTCGGCCGTGTCCTCTTCCGTCCAGCCCACTGCAGACTCTGTCGCCTAGGCTGCCTATGGCGCGGGTCATGCCGATACCTCAGATGTCACCACAATAGCGCCCGACTGTGACCCACCTGTCACAGCCGCTGCCACCTCCACCTGCGTTGGCGAGGTCTGGCTGCGTCGCGCCCACCGCGGTCTGCTCCACGAGCGCGGTCGGCAGCCCCGTTCGTCCCGTCGTTGGCAGCGGTATCGCCGCCATCGTCGGCTGCTCGACGACATCCGAAGGCGCCCCTTGGGCCCCCACGTCTTCCCATCCCGTCGAGGGCATGAGCGTCGCTGCGGGCACGGGCGTCGTCGCGGGCAGTGCCTGTCCAGCCAAAGACACGGTCGCACTAGCGCCGCTCCCGCCCGTAATGGGTGCGGCACCTGCCGATGGCTGCCGCCTGGCTTGGAGGGCAACGCTCTTCTTTGGCGCCAGCGCCAAAGGATTACGCTGCCTCCCGACGCTGCAAGAAACGAAAAACATAAGTCATGATGAAATCCACCCAAAATAGAGGAAGCAGGGGAACTGATAACTTACGCTGTAGAGGGGCTCACTCCCCTTGACTCTTGGGGCGTGGCAGAGGAGCCGCCCACCTCTGTCGGCATCTCAGGCACGGCGGTAGAGCTGCCCACCCCTGTTGACTCCTAAGGGAGGCCGACGGTACGTCCCGCCTCCGCTGGCTCCCCGGACGTAACCTCCCCTCCATGGAACAGAAAGGGTCCTGACTCCTGCAAGGGCGAAGCACTACCTGTGAGCGCATCTTCGTTCTCTAGGATGTCCCACTCGACATCGTCAGCTACCTCATCATTGTTGCCATCATCGTCGTCGTCACTGTCGGTGTCCCTCCCATTCCCGCGCTTGCAGCTTCCGCTGTCTTTTCCTCCTCTTGTCCTCCTTCGCCTACCTCAGTCGCTCGCCCTCGGCATGATTCGCCGCCCACATAGACGAATCCCTCGGCAATGGAGCCAGGTGATCCATAAGGATGAGGTCCCTCGGCTGGTCCCGTCACCCTCAAAGTTAGTATCAAGAGGTCAGGAAATCAACTGAAGAAAAGACACGAAAGGGGGAAACTTACGAAGACAATGTGACCTAGATCTAGCCACATCGGAGGATGCCCCGGCACCAAATAAATGAAGTCAAGGGGGGCGCCCGTGTCATCCCACGAAGGCTCCATCACCTCCTTGATGCGTTGCGTGATCTCAGAGTTGGAGAGCGTCCCCTCGGCAAGCGTCGTTCCATCGAACGACACCTCGGGCGCCATCGCGTACAGTGAGAGCGCGCACATCATCAACGGTGCCACCCTCCTTGTGTGGTAGGCCCCCAATGATGCCCGACCCCTTCAGGCTGCTCTCCTTCAACATGTGGATGGCGACCATTTGATCCTAGATCTTCTTCTTGTCCTTCTTCGGGATGTCCTACTTCCTCCACGACTCCGAGGCCTCCTCGATCAGGCGTCCGGTGAACTCTGGCAAGGCAGCGGCAGTGTTGTTCTT